TAGCGACAAAACAGATAATGGTGCCAGGAACAGCGGGGAGAAGAGAATAGGCGTGACTGCTAAGTGGGTACGGTGTTTCCTTTTGGGATAATAAAGATGTTCTGGAACTAAGTTAAGAGCCCCTGAATTATACACTTTAAAATGGTTTAAATGGTAAGGTAAATGAGTAAAATAAGTGAATAAAATTTTTTAAATACTAAGCTATATTATATAAAATATTATAGCCTGGAATAGTACATTATCACATATATGTAACATATGAACAGTCCTGCAATATAGATTCTTAACATTTTGTGCTATAAAGAGCAGAATGACGCCTTTCTCTCTCTGAATTCGTACCAATTTTAAAAATAATTTTTAAGATACAGAATTTTTATCAATACATGTTTTCTGATGTTTAACTTCAGCATTTCCAAGAGAGACACAATATAATAATCAGCTAGGAGATTTCTGACCTTAGGAACACCATTTCAAAATGATCTGTCCCCTCACAGGTTCATAAAGTATGTGTTTTATTGAAAATTTTCAAATTCTGAATCGAACAGAATAAAGATAGTTCTCACTTGCACTCGTATATCAGTCCATTAAAAAGTAGTTACTTGTTTACCTTTTGTTATAGAGAAGAAGTAAATTTGTAGAAAATAAATTAATAAAGTAGATTAGTTTATTCATTCAGCAATTATCAAGTATCTGCCTTGTGCCAATCACTGCACTAGGCACTCAGTAATCACTGATTTATTTTTAAAGTGAATAATGGTTTCAGAACCATTTTAGGCTTCTCTAAGACTGTCAAAGATTTATTTTCTACATATAAATTGCAATATTAATAAGTAAATATTACTAAAAATTTTATTGAGTGCTTTACTGTATGCTCACCACGCTAAGTGCCTTTATCTCTGTAAATCTATTTCATTTTATAACTCTGAGGTAGGTACTATTTTTATCCTTATTTTACAAGATGAGGATACAGGTATAGAGAGGCTAAGTAACATATGGAAAATGACATAGCTGTCAAGTAGAGGAACAAGAATATCAGGCAGCCTGGCTCACCTGCACTCTTAAATCACTCACTCTTCTGCCTGAGTGACAGTTTTCAGCTTTATCCTGAAGAAATGATATTTCTATCTAAGAATATTTTAGATCTTTCTTATTTCTCTACATTCTGTAACATAGTTTTAAAAC